AGAGGTCGGACAAAATTTGGGATTTTAAAAAGTTTATGACTCCATTAAATCAGAACTTTGAGATTCTAAAAGTGATTCCATTGGTTTCCTCGTGACATTTTCTTCTAGAACCACCCCTCCAAATTAAAAATTTTAAGTTCTAAACATCAAAATGTGCAGTTTTGGTCACAAATTATATGTCCGACCTCTCTGATTGACTAGATCCACTGTGCGCCAGTGCGTACTTATTGTGCCCCTCGAGACACGTCTGTCTTAGTTTGATCAAGACGTGACTTGGTTCCTTCCTGTTAAACTTAGTCTGAATGATCTCGTACCGAGCGCTTTTCTCAGGCANGGGGGGGGGGGGGGGGGGGGACAGGCAGGCTAGACCACACCAAAAAATCTAGAAATGCCGGTCAAAATTTTGAACGCGTTTAGCAGAAAGGAACCGAGCCACATCAGCTGTTGCCAAATTTAACTGGGCACTTTAATTTTTTACAAAAGAATGTTTGTGCAAATTCCTTTGAAACTGTTCGGGAATATGCTTCGTAGTGTGCAGAAAATTCACCGTTTGCACAAAAATCCGCACAACCGTTTTTGTGTAAACAATAAAATTGCCCAGTTACATCTGGGAATGGTTGATGTCGCTTGGTTCCTTTCGGCGTAACACGGGCCATTTTAGGGTGAAAATAAAGTACAAGAAAAATACACTATAAAACTTGTACACTTGTAAGACAAGCATGGGCGGAAATGGGGAGAGCGGGCAGGGGGCCTGCCCCCTCTTCACAATTTTGCTCGGCCACTACCAAAAATTGTCAAGGACCCAAGCTGCTATAATTAGCTTTGAGGTAAAAGGCATAGGGAATGTAATAAATATGAGCTTAATCCTAATATAATCGATCAAAGATGTCAGAAGATGAAAATTTCTCGCAAAGAGAGCAGTTTCCTCCGAGTAAGGAACGTGGAATGTAGTTTGACTGTATCCAGTTGTGGTTTTCCGCGCATTGTAGCGCAGTATACTTGTTTTCATAAGAGTTAAATTAAGATGAATTAAATTAAAATCCACAGTAAGATATGATATTTTTAAAAACAATTCAGCGAAATTTCTGTCATCTGTAATCATTTAATTAGTCATTGAGAATGGCTTAAAATTGCTCTCAAGACGTTCCAATTTTCAAAAATTTTTGGGGGGAAGCCCCCTTTCTGCAGCTGACCCCCATTGGTCCAAGTTCTATATCCTTCTACGTACCCCTACAGAAAATTTCTAGTTCCGCCCATGATGACAAGGCTAAATATGGAAAATAAGCACAGCCAGAGCGTTTCGGTCAGATCACATGCCCTCTCTCAATTGGAACAAGAGCTACAAATTTAAAAAAATTAGAGGGAACCAAAAAAACACGAACATGCAACTGATCGAGTGTAATTGGCCCAAAATGTCCTGACTGTGTTTATTTTCCTTTAGCCTGGTTATACTCATTTTCTTCCCCCAATGTATTTTTCTTGTGTTTTATTGTTACGTCGGGCTATTGTGTTGCGTCCCTATCGTAATTTAGAATGATTTTGAACCGATCAGTCTTCTTCGCACGGCAGAAAATTAAAAAAAGCAGCGAAAATAGTACATGGTATTCCCGGTTACTTTTCAAGTCCCGGTCCGTCCCTAGGGGAAAGACCCTGATTCTCCCAGATACCCTCCACTTCCCGATGTATTTCCGCAACATTCCCATTTGCAAAGGTCCCAGACACCAGGGTTGCGACAGAATTTAGAAAATAAAATTCCCGGACATTGCCCTTATAAATTTCGGCGAAATTCCCTGACAATTGACGATGTGACGGATGGTTAAGAAGGCATAATTGAAAATAGTTTTCAGGCAAAATTTGTTGTTCGAAACCTCAAACCCAATCTAGAAAGCAAATAAAGGTAATTTAACAAATTTTCCCTGACACTTTCGTCATTTCCCCTGACATTTTCAGGTTTTCCCCGACTTTATGAAATTCCCTGACATTTCCTGGTTTTCCCTGAATTTTTAAAATTCCCTGCCGTTTCCCGGTTTCCCCTGACTGTGGCAACCCTGCGACACCGCAAAGAGTCTAAAAAGAGTGGATCTTACCTGCCGAAGGAGAAGGGTCAAATAGGGCCGAAGCTAAGGACGGGAACCTCGTGGTGGATGAAAACAAACAATGGAACGAGAGCGCGGTCAGACGGAACTCGCGGTAGTCGCGGTCGCGTAGGTCATGATCCAAGGAACGCGCGAGAAGCTGAGGAGAGGAGTGGCACGGCGGCGTGGTGTGCTGGGCCTACTCGGGAAGCCGGCCCCGGCGGGGCATCGTGTCCCGACGCCCGTCGGGGACCTGCGCAGTGCTCCCGCGCAGATCAACGGCAGCAACCCCCCTAACCCCCCTCGCAGCTCAGGACCTCATCCGAGAATGCCCCAGGGAGCGTTGCCAACTCACGGGGATCCTAGAGTCCCTTTATACTGGGAGTCAAGACAATGCGCTTAAGTGCGCTCCAGCTAGAAGTTTATTTAGCAAATGGGTGGTTTTTCTGCGAGGATTAAAAATAAACGAATGGTACGGAATATAACAAAAGAATATGAACTATGCAAAACGATAATCCGGGTATCGGAATTTGGCTGTAAGAATGTGACGGAAGATTTAAATGGAGATAGCCTTCATACACGCTTGGCTTGTCGATTTCCCTAGAACTGTATTTACAAATGGGTCGTTTTTCTATGAGTATTAAAAATAAACAAGTGGCACGGAATATAACAAAAGATTATGAACTATGCAAAACGATAATCCGGGTATCGGAAATTGGCTGATTTGAAAACGCCTTCAAATGCGGCGTGATACCTCACGCATTCCGGAGAGTTCAAATAGTTGTATCATTGCGCCTTAGAAATGCGACGGAAGATTACGATGGAAATAGCCTTCATGCAGGCTCGGCACATCCCATATCTCCGGCCCTGTACCAGTTTTAAGATCCGGACCCCAGGCACGGAGAGGGGGGGGGGGTCCGAGGGGCATCCCCCGAGAAATTTTAGAATTTATACGACTAATCGGACGCATTTTGAAGCTTCCATAAAGAATTTTTCCATCAATTTCTGCGGAATAATTATGTTTTTTTTTTCTACTTTCAGCGCAAAATACTTGCGAATTGTTGCATTCAAAACATCTGGAAAAGTTTTAATTTTTTGGAGGGGGGTGGGCATATGATACTATTTTCAGTTCTAAGAGGGCCAGGCCCCCGTGGACTCCCTCTTCGTTTGTCTATGGCAAGAGAGTTGAGCCATGAGCCATTGAAGTCGAGGATGCCCAGACTGGAGACTCTTAGCATCTGACGACGGAAGAAAATGAAACGCAGTTACTAAAAATATCCCTCTCCTCTGTACTGAAAATCTTGAAAATAGATAGAAATTTTCCAGGAAGTATACTTCTTTGAAAATTTAAGAGGAATTCTACAGTGCCCCAGCGTGTTTCTGAAAATCTATTCACCTTTTGCGAAATTTTATGGGTAAATTTTTCACTTTTTCTTACGAAACAAGGGTTGCATGTGAATTCGTAGTGGTTTTTCACGGGTAACACGGGCCCCCTCCGGGGCCAATAATTGGCCCCGGTGCCAGGGATCCAGTATCCCCCCCCCTTGTGGCGGGCCTGCTCCTAGCGGCCGTTTTATCGAATAAAAACACCTATGACGGTTGTGACATCGAAACTTCATGACAGCATATTATCGAAATATTGGGGTTAGAAAACGCATCTTGTTTATATAAAATCAAAAAATGCATTGTTTATGAAACTAAATTGCTTTTCGCGCCAATCAGCAGCGGCAGCGACCGCACTGTGTTAGACGCAATGCGTGAAGTATTCCTGCAGTCTTGTAGGCGCTCATATGTTCGCGGCGACTGCATTGTGTTTAGAACAATGCGTGAAGTATTCCTGCGGTCTTGAAGCAGGACCCCTTAGTGAAATAATAAGCACTGTTCTATTGGAAATGTTATGCTCTTCCTTACCAGTGAGAACAATTGTTTCTTCTCGCTAACTCGCTGTTTTTAAGCAAGATTTCGCGAGAAAGGCGCGATTTCAAGCAAAATTCGACCTTCCAGCCGCAGAGAAAGACTACCGCGACATCTCACAAAACCAGAAGGCACAAATTAATAAATGTATGCATATCCTATTAGGATCACTTTATAGTGTTCCTAATAGGAAATTGTGTGCTGTTTGCCTCTTTCTAAGAGTTCCGATGATATTTTTCCGTAGGATGGATTGATTTTGAGATTTAGGCGAAAAACCGGTCGCCGGCGGCGTATTTTGGCCCCTCCGTCGGCCTTTTTTCAAGACAGTGGCCTTAGCGGACAGCCGATTTCAGTAAACTCTTAATACGTTGGTGTGGTGACCGATTGCAACAATTGCACCATGTTACCGCAGAGAAACCTTATACACATTGATTTTCCCAGAAAAATACTAAATTGACTGAACTATGCTGCACCGAAAAAAATAATATGCTGTTTTAGCACCTAGGATGTTAAAAATGTGTCTGGTGATCTCAAGATGCTGCCTTAACTGCCTACAGAGTTAAATTTGCATTCACAGGATGTAAAGTTAACTGCGAGGGCAGTAAGGACAACAACTCCGGATCACTAGACACATTTTTGACATCCTAGGTGCTAAAACAGCATATTATTTTTTTCGGTGTGCCGACTAGCCTGAGATCTGGTAAACTCTTTGAGCAGGTACCTCCATACTCTTGAAGTACTTCAAATTGATACAGTAAGTTCCCAGGAGTTACTTTTTTTCGGGGGGGGGGGGGGAGGGGGGATTTGGAACTGTGAGATTTGTATGCTTTCATATTTTACTGCTTTGAAAGAGAATGGCCATAAAAATGAATCTACAAAGAAATGACTTGTTAACCTATGATTTTGCAATTTCTTTCCTTCTCTCTATAAAAGTATAGTAAGTTTCTTTTGTTTTATTTTTCAAATAAATTATAATATTTAAAACAGGAATCAGAAGAATGAGGCAAAATGTCGATTGTGATGAAAAATAATGTATTAAAACATTTAGATTTACAGTAATGAAAATAAAATATAAAAATAACTGCTGGAGGTTTTTATAATTCAACTACTTAAAGGTAGTTTTTTCACAAACCTCACTAATAGAAGTCAACTGGTTCAAAAGCATACCTGAGGAACAAAAGGACTTAAAGAAAAAGAAACTACTAAACTCCAAAAAATTCGTCAGTCCACTTAGTGAATTTCTAAATTCACTAAAAATAACCTAGAAATGCGTAAGATTCCCTGCACTTTCCTGAAAAAGTTTGAACTCTAATCACAATGGTGACATAAAAGGCAATGCTGATGGAAATTCTAATTTCTAACAAAAGAATGAGAAATCAGCAACACATTGTGTTACAATTTGGATGAGAAAACTGATCGATTGCTTTTCTCTTCCTTTCTTGGAAGTGCATTGATGTTTTTAGGACATGCAGATAAAAAATAAACGTCTTATAGGTAATGAGCAATATTAGAAATCGCCATCTAATGTATGGATATGTACTGATTTCATTATTTCTCTCTTGTAGTTGACGAAGGGGATCTTCGGAAAAATCAATGAAGAACCAACACGCTCGACTAACCGGTGCAATTTAGGCAACTTTTTTAGTTTATATATGGACTACACTTAGCAATTGGAAACTACTGTTCCTCGTTCAATTCACAAACAATGTAAGGGCCATCAGTTTTTCTAGGAAGATTGGTGCTCCTGTGAGTTAGCCAGAAACAGTAGTTCCTAATTTCAAGCTTTCTGACACTCAATTTAACAAGTCAAACCTCAAAGCAAAGGATAAATTGCACAGAGATTATCATAAAAGGCGCTAAATGTATAAATAGCGGATGTGTGGTTTGGGTATTTTGAGAAAATTGCAATTTAAGTTTTCAAAGCTCTACGTTTAGAAACCATTTAAACCAAAAATATTCTGCTTGGATTTCTTCTAAGGAGCAAACTCTTGGGTTAAACATACTTTTTAGACATTTTCGTTAAAGTTAAAAGTGAATGCGTTACAGACATTTTTAGAAAATGTTACGACTGTCGAATTTACAGGCAAATTTTTTTAAGCAATTTAGAGTTAACTTTTGAAAGGCACAAATATTGCACCCAAGAGATGAGCACTAATTAGAGTTTTACTAATTTTACATAAAGAAAAAACAAGACTTTCAGTAACTTCTTGAGAGAAAGGGAACAAACAAAAGTCTTTTAAAATTATGAAAAATAACTAATATCAGTCTTCTAAAATGATAGAGAGAAATTATCAGTCCTCTAAAATAATAAGAAAAATGATTGGTCTTCCTAGTGGAAAAAAAAATTCAGCAAAGGTCAATCATCTAAAAACAGACAGCAAGTGAGTTAGTGAGTACACAATGTCGAATGGTACCACATGTAAATGAGCTGCCTAATACAAGGTGATTTTGGAAGGAATTCTAAAATTCAACATCTATGTTTTGGGATAAAACATGTGTTTATTTATTCATTTTTCACCACAGAATTGAGCTTAGAGTTTGAAAATTGGCGCGAATATTTTTTAAGGTACGGAGATTTTAAAATTCCATTATCTGCAAAAATGGTTGATGTAAACATTCACTTTTTTTACAGATACCGCCTCTTGTGTGTAGCTCACATTACAAAAAATTGTCTCTGACATGAAAGAACTTATATCCTTTGTGCTGTTTCAGTGGATCTATCATTTTATTTTTTCATAGGAAAACTGTCGTAAGAATTTGTCCAAAAATGTTGGTGTTTTTCCTCACAAGAGTTAAGAATAATTGTTGGCAATTACAGTCAAATTCATGTGACACTTTTCCAATGAAACATTAAATGCTGGTGACAAATACTGAAATGATGCAATCAAGATACGTTCCTTTCCATTCTTTCAAGTTCACACTTTTTCATCCGCTAAATTCAGAGTGACAAAAAAAAAAAAAAAAAAAATATCAATATCAAGTTAAAAGTGAGGCAAGATAGCCTTCCTGTTAGAAGATCAGAACCTAGGAACTCAGATGATAATGATATAAGGAATTGAGCTGATAATCACATTCTGTAGAATTTCCTGCAGCATTATTCTTATCTTTCGATTTCACTTTTAACCTCAAGAATATTCTCTTCTAAAAACTGAAACCAGAAAAGTTCAAACAATAAGAACACACGAGAATTAAGAGTTTATCGACTGCCATTGGAGAAAAAAATAAGCGTGCTCCCTACGCAGATCGGTTTAAAAACTTGCGTCCGCGGCCTTTGTTAGGGATAGGATTACTAATAGATCCATCTCCACCAATGCTGCCAAAACTAATAGGATCAATGCTCAAGTTAGTCATATTTTGAGACACATCACAAACACTTGGAATGGGTTCAGCAGCTCTGCAGCTGCTTGGAACACTGCTGCCAACTTTTGGCTCAGGTTGGGAGCTAGCAGCAACATTATTACAGGGAGCTCGACCACGGCCTTTGGGAAACATTCGTGAAGGCTTCACTGTTCCTTTCACCAGAGCAGAAGTTTCCTCGAGAGCATTAACGTCAATTCTCTGTTCATCTGTCTCTTTTGATTTTAGATTTGGAGGAACTTGCTGAGAGAAAGGAGGTGCACATGATGGCCCAGCTGAAAGTTCAGAAATAGTTTTCGGTTTCCTCAAGGGCTGATTTTTGTCCTGAAAAAAAAAAAAAAATATTATTAGGAATGATGGTGAGTTAGCAATAGACCAACAATTGAGAAGAAGTGAGAATTCTGATATTTTCAGCTAGAGAATCCAATGTTTGTCAAAATCATGATTTCTATAATAGCTGAAGTTTCTTATGATCTGACGAAATCACTGAAGTTTCCTTTATTGACTCTGAGCTCTATTGGGCAAGACCAGTTTTTTCTTCTGAGTTCAGCTGACTCTTCAGCACAAATTCAGATTTGTAATTGATAATACTTAGATTTTCAATCTCATTAGGTTCTTTCATTTCTCTGTAGCTTTGAAGTTCCACACCAAGAACTAATTGACGCAATAAAATAATAATTTAAAACCAGGATATGCAAAACAAGTGCTTAAAAATTCTTCAATTTTTATGTTGAAATGTTCAGGTTTGAAGTATTGTCCCATGCATAAAGGGAAAAATGCATTTGAGAGATAACGACCTCCCCCCCCCCCCCCCCCCCCCCC